GTGTCCTTCCCTGGCCTAGCCCCCTGCCAGAGGAATCTTAGCCAGGACTGGCGGTGTCTGCAGGGGCCCGCTCTCACCTCCAAGCTCAGCGGGACCCTCCCCCTGGCTTTGGACCTAATGAGTGGCCATGGGGCTTCCCTGGACACAGCCAAGCTGGGGCAAGAGGCCTGACATGGAACTTGGAATTCTTGGTTGCAAGTGACAGAAACTCAAACTGGCTTAGCTGAAAGGGGCATTGATGGCCCCATGTGATTAAATTACCTGGGGTTGCTTGAGCTTCAGGCAGAGCTGGATCCAGGGGCTCAGTGTCTTGGTAGGCCTCTTGTCTCTGCACAGCTTTCTGTGTTACCCTTTTGCTCAGGTGGGCTGTCCCCTTGTGGCAGCCCAGGCGACTGCCAGCTGCTCCAGGCCACTGGTGAAAGCGAGCGCCCTTTTCCCATGGGTCAGCACAAGTCCCAAAGAACGTTCTCACTGGGCTGGTTTTGGTCACTTGTCCATCCCCAAGGCAATTGCTGGAGCTTGGGAGAGACTGTGCTGATTAGCCAGACCTCGGTCGGTCGTGTGACCTCTGAACCAGGGGGATTGAAGAGGGGAGGGGACCTTGTCCAGCCAAAGCAGGAAACACCCTCCTACAAACTTGGACCCTTGCCAGGACCTCAGACTCCTGTAAGATGGGGCTGCTCATCCTGCTCGGCCACCAGGGTGGTTGTGAAGTGTGAATGACAGTGAGGGACCCCAGAGACTACAGTCCATCCAGGGAAAGGGGCCTTGACTCTCAGAAGTGCTTGGCCCTGCTCTTGGTGGCTTTGGAGGTCAGGCTTTGGCAGTAGAACTTTCTCACAGCCAGAAGTCCTGATGATGGACAAGAATGCCTTGAGAGGTGGTGAGCTCCCCGTCACGAAGGTATGTGAGCTGAGGCTGCAAGGCCACTTGTTGGAGATGGGGCAGAAGGGGGTTCTTCATCCAGTGATCTCTGAGGGGCCCTCCCAGTGACAAGCTGAATCAGTGACCATCAGAAGAACAGGCGATTATACAGAGGAGTCTTAAACCCTCTCCGGCTGAGGGAGGCCTCTGGATCTGGCTTTGGGGGTCGCTGCTAGAGAGGAGCTTGCCTGTGGAGATGCCCATTGGTGGCGGGTCCCCTGGCTGTGTCTCCAGGCCAGATAGATGAAGCCTTTCCTCCCAGCCCCCTGGCTCTGCCTCGCACAATCCGGCTTGTTCTAGGAGCTGAAAGAAGTCCCTAGACGGGCCAAGTGCTGTCCCTTGTCCACCCCACTCTGCCCGCTGTTGCCCAGGAAGCGGCCTAATTAGATTCCTGAGAGGAGTGTTTACCAGGCCTGGGTTTCCACGGGCCCTCGGAAAACCTTGCAACAGCTTCCTCTCTTTCCTTGCCCGGCTCTGTAGGATTCATGTGCCTGGAAGGGCAGGTCGGGCACCCGGGGGATGAAAGGCGGCGTCTGGGGGTGGTGTGTGTATGCACATATGTGCTTCTCTGAGCCCTCGCTGTTGGGGCTGCCTGGCCGGCAGGTCCTGGCTGCCTGCAGCTCTGGCCTGGGGGCTTTGCTTGGGGGACAGAGCAGCTGCTGTTAGACGCCTCAGCCCCTTGTGTTTGGCGTTTCTCCCTGGCACTCAATGCACCAGCATCTTGCATCAGACCAGAGGGACAGGCACTGTTACTCGTGACATCTGGTTCAGTTCCCCAGGAGCTGTGGCTGGAAGGAGCTCAGTGGGGCAGTCTGTCTTTGTTTAGCATGACAGCGAGGCCCGGCTGAGGATCACTGGTTTGGGAGCCAGGCGGACAGGGGATTGAATCCCAGCCCTTCCACCACCGAGCCCCAGCTGTGTGATTGTAGGCAAGCCACCTGGCCTCTCCGGGCCTCAGTTGCATATCCTGGACAGTGGCTCCTAACAGCATGGCCCTAGTGGGGTTGGGGAGATGGTGGTGGTTGTGTGTGTAGGTGCCTGGCCAGAGCTGCTGCTGTGATTACTGAGAAGAGCTGCTTTAGGGGGCTTCTCAGGACAGGGAGCTTGTCTTGTTTTGTGAAGCCCACAGCATAGGGCTGGTCACATGTGGTGGTTGTTGGCTGACACTGAGTTGGCTCGGACTCATGGCAACCCCACGTACAACAGAACGCAGCGTCGTTCGGTGCTGTGCCATCTTCACAACCCATGGTATGCTTGAGTCCACTGTCGCAGCCACTGTGTCTAGAGTGCCTTCCAACCCGGGGGGCTTCTCTTCCAGCGCTATATCAGACAATATTCTGTTGTGATTCATAGGTTTTCATTGACTGATTTTCAGAAGTAGATTGTCAGATGTCTCTTTCTTATCTGTCTTAATCTGGAAGCTCTGTTGAAACCAGTCCACCATGGGTGACCCTGCTGGTATTTGAAATACCAGTAGCATAGCTTCCAGCATCACAGCAACACACAGGCCCCCACAGTACAACAAACTGACAGACGGGTGGTGCCGTATATGGTTAAACCAAAACCCACTGCCATCTAGTCAATTCCAACTCATTAGCAACCCTATAGGACAGAGTAGAACTGCCCCATAGGGTTTCTAAGGAGTGGCTGGTGGATTCGAACTGCCGACTTTTTGGTTAGCAGCCATAGCTCTTAACCAGTACGCCACCAGGGCTCCGTATGTATGGTTAGTACTCAGTAAGTGCCTCTCGTGTCTCAGGTTAGATTCAGAGGTTGCAAACTAGTGGGCGGCACCATTCAAACAATTTTAAATTATCTGCCAATGTTTGAAAGTCAGGGCATTTCATGTGGAAACCAGATCTGTAGTTTGTCTAAGCACTCTGGGCTCTGTGGCAGCCCTGGGCCCGACCCCACAGAATTAGCCTGGTTAAACAGATGCCAAGGCCTGTGGACACCTGCCCCAGCCCAGAGGGAGGAGAGAAGCCAGGGCCCCTGGCAAAGGCCCCTCCTTCCACCCTGAAATCATGGTTTTTCCATTTTGTTTCTGGGGTTGTGGCAAGGGAACAGGGTGCCCCCGGGACCTCACTGTAGCCAGCATTCACCGGGGGGGGCTTTACTCAGACTGAGAGACCCTGAGCATCCTTGGGCCACCCTCCCTCCTCTGGATCCTTTGTGGCTTCTGCCAGCCACACTTTGTGCCCTTCGGGGCTGCTCTGTCCCTACAGCTCACAGCCTGCCTGCCCTCTGCCCTGTGCCCCTCCATTCTCTTGCCTGTCGTGATTCCAGTCCCCGAGGCAGGCCCGGAGGATGTCAGGCGTCAGGACTTCTGGTCCAGGGCTGCTCCCGTAGCACATGGTTCCTCCTGGGAGCGTGGCAGCCACCCCCAAGCCCCAGTGCTGTGTCTAAAGATTGCACATTTGTTGTATAACTTTCTTGTGGAACTACGTTGCTTTTGGGAGCCCCAAGGAGAGAGAGCCAGCCTGGCACACAGGAGGTGTAGCGGGCCAGCATGCAGAAGGTGGTGATTAGCAAGCCTTCTTGGAGTAAACAAATGAGCAAATGAGTGAATGGTGTTGGGGAAAGAGGGAGCCCACCCAGGCTGAGCATCGAAAGCCTGGGGCTGCTCCCAGCTTCGTCACAAGGTGCAGCAAGGTCTCGGGACCACCATGCTGCCTCTCCGAAGTTCAGGGTCCTTTCATGTGAAATGGGGCTTTCGGACATCTTAAATTTTTGTCAGTGAGCCCTTTAAAAAAAAACGCAGTCTTACATGGAAGCATGACATAAGACAGACGCAGCAGGGATGCTAAGGCTGCAGTGGGTGTGGGCACCTAAGCCTGCCCCCCTTGGCCTCCCCATCCCATCTGGGCCCCGAGGCATCTCCCCAAATCCCAGAACTCCCAGGATCACAGTTGGGAACTTTCTGGACATGGAGGCGTAAGACCAAAAAGGGACAGTAGTCAAGTGAGTGTGATCCTTGCACATGGGCCAGTGGAACAGAACAGTCTAGAAACAGACTCCACATTAATGGTGGTCTGATGTATGACAAAGGTGGTGCCACCGCAATTCGGCAATGGAAGGACGGTCTCGTCACTGAACGGTGCTGGGATAATTAGCTATCCATATGGAAAAAGGAAATGGGCTCTGATGCCTAACTCACCATACACAGAAAGGAACTGAGATGGATCAGAGCTCTAAATGCGAAAGGGAAGCAGTCAACTTTCCACAGCAGTGCTGTCTAGTAGAACTTCCTGTGATGGTAGAAATGGTCTGCATCTGCCCTGTCCAGCACGGTCACCACCAGCTGGTGTGGGGCTTTTGAGCACTTGAAATGTGACTAGTGCAACTGAGAAACTGAATTTTTAATAATTTAAATATAATTTTAAATAGCTGCATATGGCTCGTGGCTGCTGTATTAGAAAGGGCCATTCTAGAAGAAAATACAGAGGACTAGCTTTGTGACCTTGGAGTGGGCAAGGCTATAAACAGGACGTGATTCTCAGCCAATGCCCCCCATGCACTATCGGGGAGGCGGCAGGCTGGTAGATGTCTGCTGGCTCATGGGATTGACGTAATTCTCAGCCAATGCACCTCATGCGCTGTAGGTGAGGCGGCAGGCTGGTAGATGTCTGCTGGCTCACGGGATTGCAGGGGCTGGCAAATCCAAAATTGGCAGGCCAGAGACTTCTGCAGGCTTACGTGCCAGGAACCTGTCAGTGGAGTATTGAATGTTGCTGATGCTGAACAGGTTTCAGTGGAGCTTCCAGACTAAGATAGACTAGGAAGAAAGGCCTGGTGATCTACCTCTGAAAATCAGCCAGTGAAATCCCTGTGGATCACAACGGTTCGATCCACAATGGATCATGGGGATGGTGCAGGACTGGGCAGTGTTTCATTCCGTTGGTGTGTGGGGTCCTCATGAGTCCAGGGCTGACTCAATAACAGCTAAGAACAACAACAAAAGTTAGGATTACCTTGATAACGTGGATCCAGTGGCTCTGTTCTCCCCTTCCTTGAGGCTACCCTTTCGTGGCTCAGCCTGTTGAGGTAAAATCTGGGTCTGCCTTGTGTCTCTGCAGAACTGAGGACCCTGCGTGTCTGATCAGCCTGGCCTGGATGCAAAGCAAGATTTTGGTGGCGCAGTGAGAAGGCCTGGCAGCTGGAGCGTGCAGGCACCGTGGAGCCCTTGGTGCCGCAGGCTCCGGGGGCTGCTCCCCAGCCCCACCTGCCAGACTTGGAGAGGCCCAAGGCCCAGCGCCACAGAGGTGGGTGTCGGCAGACAGATGCCCCCTAGGCCGTGGGGTCTCCTGAGTGGGCGTGCGAAGGGTGGAGGATGCCAGCCAAGGGGCGCTACTTTCTCAACGAGGGCGAGGAGGGCCCGGACCAGGATGCGCTCTACGAGAGGTACAGGCTCACCAGCCAGCATGGGCCGCTGCTGCTCACCTTCCTGCTGGTGGCCATCACGGCCTGCACTGCGCTCATCATCATCGAGTTCATCAACTGGGTGAGTGAGGGGACCGGGCAGGCAGCGGGGGCCGGGTAAGGCCCTTTCCTGGAGCTCCAATCCCAGCGCTGACCCTTCATACTTGTGAGGCCTCGGGCAAGTCCTTATCCCTCTGTAAGCCTCAGTTTCCTCACTGGAAAAATGCTATGGAGGATATTTAGGCTGGTAGAAGACAGGATTTTTATTTTAATCTTGAAGTCTGAGGTAGCTTTAGATATTACATTACTTTGGTCAAATAAGTTACCCTCATTTTTGCTCATAATGAGATTAGGTTTTACTGAAGACCTAGGTTAGGGATGGTCTGTGTATACCTGCTTCCCATTCCTGTACTGTGACAGACATCATAATCGATTCCAGCACTCATTCTCAGCACAGCTATCCAGGTGCCACTACCCCTGTCAGCTCTGACTTAGACTTGCCTTGCTACAGCCGCTAGCTACGGGTGGCTGCCAAGCACTTGAGATGTGGCTATTATGACTGAGGAACCGAATTTTAAAATTTTGTTTTTAACTAATGTAAATTTAATTTTAAATAGTGAAATAGTGGCACGTGACTAGTGGCTACTGTATCAGACAGCAGAGTTCTGGTAGAAAACAAAGGCGACTGCAGGGTGTTTTGAGAGAGGTGATTTTGTAAAGTAGCTGGTAAACAGTAGGTGCTCTATCAGCACTACCTGTTTCTAAACCAGTTGCCACGGGGTCGGTTCTGGCTCATGGCAACCCCATATGTGCAGAGTAGAGCTGTGCTCCATAGGGTTGTCAATGTCGGATTTTTGTGGAATTAGAAAGCCAGGCCTTTCTTCCGAGGCACCTCTGGGTGGACTTGAACCTCCAACCTTTTGGTTAGCAGCTGAGCATGTTAACTGTTTGCACACCCAAAGATTCAAAAAACCAGTTGCCGTCAAGGTGACTCTGACTCACGGAGACCCCGTGTATGTCAGAGTAGAACTGTGATCCATAGGGTTTTCAGTGGCTGATTTTTCGGAAGTAGATCGCCAGGCCTTTTTGCTGAGATGCCTCTGGGTGGTCAAACTGCCAACCTTTTGGTTAGCAGTCAAGCGCTTTTTAACTGTTTGCACCACCAGGGACTCTTGTAACTATATGGATATAAACTGCAGGACATTTGTTTCATCTTTCGAGAGAGAGTTATTGAGTGTCTTCTGCGTGCCAGGTACCCAGAACAGGCTCTGCCCTTGTGGAGCTACTTGAGGAAACAGAAACATCAGCATCCAGGAAGTGCTGGGGCTGTAGCCCCACCTGTCACACCTTGCACCTTTGCTCAAGCTCCTCCCTGTCTGGGATGCCTTTTCTCATCATTCTTTCACAAACCTCAGTTCCTTCTTTGAGCCAGGCATAATGTCCCCTCCTCCAGACAGCTTTCCAGGTCTTCTCTCTGCCCATGGGTAAGCCCTTCCCTGTGCTCCTGTAGCCTTGTCATACCGGTCACCAGCAGATATGCATGGAGCACTGTGGGAACGCAGAGGCCGAGAGACTGGCTTTGCTGGAGGTGGGGAGGTGGGCAGGGAGAGGTGGCATCACAGTGCTGGTCTGTGAAGGAGGCTTACCTATTGTTGTTGAGTCAATTCCGACTCATAGTGACCCTATAGGACAGAATAGAACTGCCCCCCAGGGTTTCCAAGGCTGTAATCTTTATGGAAGCAGACTGCCACATCTTTCTCCCATAGAGAGGCTGGTGAGTTCGAACCACTGATCTTTTGGTTACCAGCCGAGTGCTTAACCACTGCACTACCAGGGCTCCTTGAAGGAGGCTTAGGGTTCCTGTGAAGGAGCCTGGGGAAGGTGGTGGCTAAGGCAGAGCCCAGACAAAGGCCTGGAGGTCAGGAAGAACCTGGTTTTGGTGGGGGCACGCAGAGGGCGCCCTGCAGTGGCTTCGGCCAGAGCGGCTCTCTGGTGGGGGTGGCGGAGGTGGTGCCCGCTGGGGAAGCTGTGACATTCCTGTGTCTGTCTGCCCTGCCCAGGACACCTCCAAACTCAAGTCTCTCCTGGGGACGGCGATCGTGGTGCTTGTGGTATTTGTGGCCCTGTACCTGCTGGTGTATGTAGATTGCCTCGTACGGCGGGGGCTCAGGGCCTTGGCGCTGCTCATCTGGGCTTGCCTCATGACGCTGGGCTACGTGCTGCTGTACGACTCACGGATGAAGGGGGCCTGTGCATGGGAGCAGGTAACAGGTTGGGGCCCTGAGTGTCCCTCTGTCTGGGGGCTGGGTGCACCAGGGGCAGCTCCCGCCCTTGCTTGGCATCAGGTCCCCTCTGGAGAAGGGCACCTGCATTGGGTGTGCTGGGCAAGACCCTTCTGGCTCCTCATGGCCGTGGTTTGAGACTTAGGACGGGGCCAGGCTGATTCTGTCCTCAATGACCTCCCGATGTGGGAGGTTGAATGTCTGGCTGTGGTGTTTCTGGGTGGCCCCTCATTTGGTTGGAAATGACAGAACCCCAACTCAACGAGGCAAAACGTCACAAATTGGTGTGTGTGCCAGGGAGGGCTGAGGGCTCAGTCCTGGGGCTCCAACTGCGTGGCCAGACCTGATCTCTCTGGCCCTGTCTCTCAGCCCTGCTTTCCTCTGGTGCTTGATTCCTGTGCAAGCTGTCCCCAGGTGGGGGCAGAGATGGCAGCAAGCAGCCCCAGGCTGCCCGCCCACCAGCTTAGTCACCCCTGCCGAAAGAGAGAGCCTTCACCCAACCAGCAACAGGCCCCAGCTTGAGTCCTGTGGGCCTGGCCTCGTCACGGGCCTAGCCTGGACACTGTTGGCGAGGGGTGGTCCACTCTACCCAGTGCACCTGGACCATGTGACCCCACTGCTTTGCTGGGGTGGGGTCAGGCTCATTTAAATGACGCAGACTCAGAGCTCAGAGGCGCTGTTCCCGGAGGGGGCAGGTGCAGAGCAGGTGGGAGTAGCACCTGGCTGGCTGGCTCCCAGCATGGGTGGGTGTGGATGAGTGGGTGGGGCTGCACTGCCAGAGGGGGCAGGTGAGCACCCCACCCAGTGTTCCCCCCTGTAATTACTGTCCTGCCGACGGAGGGCCGCGTGGTGTTGGCACCTGTGGGGCTCACTGGTTACAAGGGGTGCGGAGTCTAGCTCCTGGGAGGCTCAGCCTCGGCCACAGAACCAAACCAGCGCATAGGAAACAATGCATAATGCCGGCTGGACTGGACCCAGAAGCACACTTTGACTCTATTTGGGTCCATTGTGTGTCCATGGCTGGTGCTGGCTGTTCTCATCCCAGTTGCTGGGGGAGGCTGAGGACAGAGGGCACTGTGGACTGGGCTCTGCATTCAGGTTTCTGAGGACCGTCCCTACAAGACCCTACTCTCAGCTCAGCCTTGGAGCTGTGTCCTGGGCTGTGGGCAGCTTGGCTGGGTGCCCCCCTGTATGGAGGGCCGCCGGCAGACTGAGCGTGATGGTGTTCTGTCCCCAGGTGCCCTTCTTCCTGTTCGTCATCTTCGTGGTATACACGCTGCTGCCCTTCAGCATGTGGGGGGCCGTCGCAGTGGGGGTTGTCTCCACTGTCTCCCACCTCCTCGTGCTCAGCATCCTTGCGGGGGTCCACGAGATGCCTAGTGACCACATAGAGCTGAAGGTGAGGGGCAGGGTGGGGGGCCTCTGGGGCGGGGGCTGTGGTTTGGGGCTGAGGGCAGCCAAGACTCCGTGGGGTACGTTGGGCCCCAAAGACCTCTGAGCAGAATTTGGAGGCAGGTGGCAGCATCCCAAGGTCGGGTTCTCTGAGTCTGCTTCTGGAGCAGCTGGCCCCCCTCTTCTTTGCTGGCTAGGGTCCCCCAGAGGCCCAGCCCTCGCCTGAGTCCTGACCCTGACTCCACTTTCCAGGTCAGGTGCCGTGCTGTGTGGGGGTGAGGTCCCTGAGGTTTCCCCACTCCTGGCAGGGCTGGGGTGCTCCCTGGGCCTAGCATTCTGTGAGATTACGTTAAGTGGGGCGAGCCTTTCGTTCTGTGAGTTTACGTTAAGTGAGGTGAGCCTTTTCTGAGTTTACGTTAAGTGAGGCGAGCCTTTTGTTCTGTGAGTTTATGTTAAGTGAGGCGAGACTTTCGTTCTGTGAGTTTACGTCAAGTGAGGCGAGCCTTTTCTGAGTTTACGTTAAGTGAGGCGAGCCTTTCGTTCTGTGAGTTTACGTT